AGGCGCCTCAGGGGCGGGAATCCCCACAGGACAGTCATGCCCCTCCCCATGTGTGTGGGGGGTCTGAGCCCCAGCCCCCCGCCATGTGCCCCACAGGCTCCTTCTCTGCCCCACTGCTGCAGTTGGTGTGTCCACCTGGCGGGCTAAAGGGCAGGAGGCCAGCCCGGGGGTCGATGGGGCAGGGCGGTTCTGGCACGGTCAGGACAGCGGACGACAGTGTTGACCAGGGTGGATGGGGCAGGGCGGTTCTGGCACGGTGTTGACCGGGCGGCATGTCTGCCTGCTGGGGGAGGGGCCTGCACGGGGTCCAGGGTGATGGCCCCAGCCGGAGGGACGGGCGCCAGACCCCACAGACCAGGGTAGGGCAGGGGGAATCTAGGGGAGGGAGCCTCCAGAGGGAGGGGATCCACAGGGTCAGCGTGGGCTTCTGCCTCTCCCTGGCCACTGGCAGGGGCAGGCGGGCGTGGCAGCAGGCCTCACAGGATGTGAGGTGACAGGGCAGGGCAGGGGTAGGAGAGTGGGTGTGCCTGTTCCCAGCACCAGCAGCGCAAAGGCTCATGGTGGCCCCCACCCTTGTGACCCCAGCCTGCCTGTGGCCGCCACCCCCAGGTGTGAGGGCAAGATGGGCCCAGCTGGGCCTGGTCAGCCACAAGCCTGGAGGGGCCTCCTGAGCCCCAGGTCAGGGTCCTGGGTCCCCCCTTCAGAGGGGTGGTAGGTGGAAGGGGCCTCGTCCCTGCCTGGAGAGAGAGCTCTGGGGCCCGGCCTCACCCCACAGATGGACTCGCCAGCGGGTTTGGCTCACGGGTGAGGAGGGAGGCCCCGCAACTGCCCGGAGCCTGCACCTTGCTCTGCCGCCCAGGTGTCCCCCAACCCAGCTGTACCGGACCTCCCCCTTGCCACCAGGGGTCCTGAGCCACCTCGGCCCAGTCCGACCGCCCTCTCTGCCTGGCGTCCAGGCCGAGACCTCGCCGTGGTGCTGCAGCCCCTGCCCATGGCACTACCACATGTGGAAGAAGGGTGGTGGGCCCAGGGGACAGGACAGGGCAGAGCTGCCCGCCAAAGCCCGGGGCCCGTGGGGGAGGGCTTGCAACTTCAGGCAGCACTGGAGTGCACCTCGGGTCCCCAGCTGCAGGCCCAGGTCCCCAGCTGGGGCCAAGGCCGCCCACCCACCATGTGCACACGTGGGTGTTGCATGCCGTGCCCCTCCAGGGCATGCACGTGCAGGGGTGCACAGGAGCACCCCTTCCCAGCTGTGCGCCTCGTGGGCAGGGGCCAGCACCCACCTGCCTTGAGAATCTTTGCCTCAGTTTACCACTCTGGGTTGACGTGTCGGCCCCGCCATCACCTCCACCAGTCACCACCCCCAGGCAGGCACCAGCAACCTCGTCACCCTGCTCAGGCCCCCCAGGGCCACGGGATTGCCCCACCCCGCCCCACCAGTCCTGAAGTTCCAGAATCTGACCAAGTCGCGGCTGGAGAAGGCCACGGCGCCTTCTGCCACGTGCCAGCTCTGGCTCAGAGCGCCCCCCACTGTCAACGTCAGCAGCTGTGCCCCGCTGCTGTGGCTACCGCGGTGTCTGGTCAGCATATCACCATCAGTGTGACATCAGGGTC